TTGAATAAGTACGTACTTCAGGATCTACTCCAGTCATCTGTGAGGCTGGCTGAATTTCTTGCTGCTCCATTTGGCCATTCTACTGAGCTAAAGAGCTAACCTTTTTTTCAATTTTTGTAAGTTATGAATCTATTTAAAATCTCAGAAGATAAGAATCTCGATTTTTACATAACTCACACCTCTTCTGATGTTGTTCTCTGGGTTCTGTGTCTCCACTGGATCATTACATTTAGATAAGATGCAGAGCTTATTTCATTATTGTAACACCTCCACTCTTTGTTTACCTCGTGTTTAGCTGACCAGACTTCTGCAGGAGTTAAAGGAAGCTAAAGAAGCTCAGAGTCCAGAGGTGAAGCTGCTGTGCAGCCTGGAGAGGAAGATTTTCAACATGGAGCTCCGACACCAGCACAGAGAGAAAGAGCTACAACAGGTACCGCTGATAATGATGGTTTTAATGTCCTTAGGTCACCAATCATTTACAATTTAACCCTTCGATAACCTGCTGCTTAATGGACGATCTGGAAGAAGCTGTGGTTCTGTGGAGTCGCACACAGGACATTTTAAAACCTTTTATTTTGTTGTCTCAATGACAAATAGTTGCAAAAATATTTTAAAGTTTTCCCTAAGTTTGCTTTATCTGCTCATCTGGACGGATATCATTCTGATGTAATTTCATGATGAGAGAAGATGAACAATGAACGAGCAAAAGTTTTCCGTATGTTAAAAACAGGTAGATACGTAAAGGTCCTGTGTTCACCTAGTGTTTTTTTTTCATTGCTTCCAATGAGTAGAGAGCGTTTGCAGCAGCAGGCGGCCGCACTGAGAAAAAGCGCGGCTCCCAGCGTCTTTCTTCTTCCCCTGAGCGCTAAAATTGAAAATCTTTGAACTTTTCAGAAAAGTGCTGTTGATGTCACCATCGCTCTTTTCCAAACATGAGATTCCCTGTAGTTTTGCTGCCTACAGGTCTTGTCTTGTACCCACTTCCTCTTTGCCCCGTGTCTGATCGGGAAATAAATCATGCAGTAAAAAGTAATGGAGCCGTGTCGGTCATACAGCGGCTGTTGTCATAGAAACAGGACCGACGTGCGGCTTCATGCAAGCCCAGAAAAAAGGGCGAGGTGGACACAGGGCCGGAATCATACAAAGTCAAAATCATTTTCTTCTTGTTTGACTTGTTTGTAAATTCCCAGAGTGAAACATTTGCTTCACTTACGTTGTCACCCGGCACAAAAGATGTACATCACAGATTCATCAGAGATGTTCAGTGTCCTCTCTCTCTCTCTCTCTGCAGGTGATCGGCAGCTCGTGGCAGACGTCGGAGGCTGATCAGCAGACGGAGGTGGAGCACTGGAAGCGTCTGGCTCAGGACAAGAGCAGAGAGCTGGAGGCTTTCCGTCTGGAGCTGGACTCCATCCTGGACATCCTGAGACACCTGCAGAGACAAGGAGTGGTCCTAACCCCCGTCACAGCTCTCCTCGACGCCAAGAGGAGTTAACGCACTGATGGATGTCAGAGACGCTGAGTGTTTTCTTTGAAAGCCAAAGATGGACGCTTTAAAGTGACGCCTACTTTTTTAGTGTTAGAAAAAGTTCAGATGAAGAGTTCACAGGCGGGCCTACAAAACTTCCAGCAACCCTTAGTGAAAGCACTACGAATAAACTCAGAATGAAGATAGTAACAAAATGTACACCTTAAATATTTTCTATTTAAATTATTGTAACTTAAATAAGGTATCGTGGAAATAAACGTTGTTTTCAAGTCTTAACTGTGTGCTCAGCATTTGTTCTTGTGTTGCACTCAACTCTTCATTTTTGTGACCAACTTTTTTAAATTTATTTTGCACCTTGGTTGTAGGTTTAAATCCAAAAGATGCCACACCACTATGAGTATATCAACAACATGAAACCACAAACCTGCAGATATACATTTCCTTAACCCCTCCCCAGTCTGAGGGCTCTTTGTCTGAAATACACAAGACACATGTTTTATACTCTCAGTGACTGGTTCTATAGATACGGGTATAGAGTATTAAACTGTCTGGTATGTTGATTAAAACTGTAGATTGTGTTTATAACATCCTTTAATTACCATTGTTGTTTCTTCACTTACATGGTCTTAGGAAAGGTTTATAATCAACTTGACTTATTATAACTAGAATTTTCTCTTTAGTTGTGATGTGGTGGCTCTTAAAAGAGCCTTTGTGTTTGTTGAAGTCAGGATTGAGTGTCTACTTCTTGGTGGCCTTCTCGGTCTTCTTGGGCAGGAGAACAGCCTGGATGTTGGGCAGCACTCCTCCCTGAGCGATGGTGACTCCTCCGAGCAGCTTGTTGAGCTCCTCGTCGTTGCGGACAGCCAGCTGCAGGTGACGGGGGATGATACGGGTCTTCTTGTTGTCACGGGCAGCGTTACCGGCCAACTCCAGGATCTCAGCGGTCAGGTACTCGAGCACAGCCGCCAGGTAGACGGGGGCTCCGGCACCAACACGCTGGGCATAGTTTCCTTTACGCAGCAGCCTGTGGACACGACCGACTGGGAACTGGAGCCCGGCACGGGAGGAGCGGGTCTTTGCCTTTGCTCTGGCTTTTCCGCCGGTTTTGCCTCTTCCTGACATGGTGTAGGTTAATCTCTAGAGTCGATACTGAGAGAAATAAGTTGTGTGCCGAGATGTCCCCGTTATATGTCCGCGTAGCGCGCTCGTTTTCCTGCCCCACCAACCAGAAAAGAGGCTTCGAGTTTAGCAGAGGAGGGCGGCCCCACTCGCAGCCTCGCTTTGCGATTTGAAAAACGTTTCTCCAATGAGCAGCGGAGATTGAGGCGGGGGCTCGATCCCCCCCCCTGCGGGACTGAGCTCCAGAAGCGGCTTTGTCACCAATCAGAGGCTAGAGGTCTGGAGCAGCGTCACTGTTTCACATCCGCTCAGTCTTTTTAAAGGCAGCTCGTCTCCAGTCTCTGACACATTTACCTCTCACTCAGAGACTAGAAACCATGGCAAGAACTAAGCAGACCGCTCGTAAGTCCACAGGAGGCAAAGCCCCCAGGAAGCAGCTGGCCACCAAGGCTGCCCGTAAGAGCGCCCCGGCCACCGGCGGCGTCAAGAAGCCCCATCGTTACAGGCCCGGTACCGTGGCTCTCAGAGAGATCCGTCGTTACCAGAAATCCACCGAGCTGCTCATCCGCAAGCTGCCCTTCCAGCGTCTGGTCCGTGAGATCGCTCAGGACTTCAAGACCGACCTGCGCTTCCAGAGCTCCGCTGTCATGGCTCTGCAGGAGTCCAGCGAGGCTTACCTGGTCGGTCTCTTCGAGGACACCAACCTCTGCGCCATCCACGCCAAGAGGGTCACCATCATGCCCAAAGACATCCAGCTGGCCAGAAGGATCCGCGGAGAGAGAGCTTAATCTGTCTACTGCTCCAAAACAACCACAACGGCTCTTTTAAGAGCCACCACATTTCACTAAGACATCTTCCTCTACTCTTCACTTCATACTGATGACTTTATTATTTCATTCTAGTCTCATGTTTTACACTAGTTGCTGCCTACAGTACTGCAACCACAAAAACATTATAATGTAGTCATCTCTAACCATACAGAGCACAGACCTATTACAAAGTTATTAATATAATAAACACTACATTTATCTTACATCTTATCTATTCTCCACTCAACTATATTTGAATTTCAGGAGTTATACAAATTAATCACCAGAGTTTGCCAGATGGATATAAACAGTACACATATATTGAATATGTATTATCTAATAAAGAGACATTGTCAATATTTACTCTCCCTCATGTTTCTTGAGAGGTGCAGATTTCTAGAATCATTGTTCAGCTAAAAGAGCTTCAGTAAGTCACCAGCACACACTATGAACTCAGGAATCACTTCATTATAGACTTTAATTTGTTCAATAAATAATTGAGTCCCATAAAACATTGAAGTTGACACCATTACTTCTACAGGCCTTTAAGTTTGGATCACAAACAGGTTCACTGACGACCACTTGGAATAAATGTCACAGTGATTCATGAAGACGGTTAAGATGCTACAGGATGCTCCTCATACAGATCCATATCATTATTAAATACTGATGATTAAAGACTAACTTTAGTTATAGCCTGTAGATTAAAGGATGCTGTACCTGATATAATAAACAATGATGAATGCAGGTTAAGATCCACCACATTAGTTTAATTATCTTTAAAGATGCACTATGAGAACAAATAATGACCTCTAAAGACACAGTTCTCTGAACCACCACAGACACATCAAAGAGTCTCATATATGAAAAGTATATTCATCATATGTATGTGTGTATATATAACACTTTTTATACATTAATGATGCAGCACAAAAAAATATGACCCCCCCCCCCCCCCCCCACACACACACACACACACACACACACACACACAATCCACAATAATTTGTAAAAAAAAAAATCTAGTTAAAAAAGTGATTGATGACTGAGGAAACACGCTGTCCAAGGTGCTGAAATGATCTCTGCTGCAGCATGTTGTGTCATTTGATTAGAAACAGAATAAAAAGAGTAATAATCTTCCTTCATCTCGGTGTGAATGATTTCAAGATGTTGAATGTTTTCTTCACCTCCTGGTCAATGTGGAGCTCAGTCAGTCTAACAGGAGTCACGCTGCAGCTGCTGGTCAGAGGGGGGCGCTAATGCTTCATGAAAATGAACAACGACATATTCATTGTGTCCCTGTTAGATAAAGAATGAATATTAATTTAAAGTCTAGGGACGACTTAAGTGGAGGTGAGTGTGATTGTTCAAATACATGTCTGAGGTATTCTGAGCGGATTGTTCTGATGACAGTCAGACATCCTGAACATTAAAGTGTGAAAATGAAACAAAATGAACAATAACAGATACATTTTCTCTCATTGAATGAGCTCATTGCTTATGTCCATGTTTAATAAATCAGAGAAGAAGGATGAAGTGGTGCAGGATGATTAAAAGTAAACTACGGTGAGTCTGACTGAACAAACCTATTTTATAATTGTGAGAGTATTTTACAGTGTTTGCTATGACATTTTTTTCAATACTTCTAACAATTTTCCTAAACTCTTTACACAGTTAGAACAACATTCGTCTGTGTAGGCTGTGCAATCAACACATTTCTTGTTGCTTTGACACAAAATGCATACATTTAACATAAATTAAACTAAATGAGAGAAAAATTAATGGAAATCATTGTTCTATCTACTATCTACATGTCATCAACAGCTTCAAACTGAAGGAGACAAAATAAAACACTTCTTATTATGAACACTCAGTAACCAGGCTGTTCTGGAGAATCTGGAGGATTTTACTGACAATCATATGAATGGTTCAATTGATTTTATTTCCTAAAGATTTAATTTTATTCCAAATAAATAAAAAAAATGTCAACAGTCAATTAACCTCTTTATAGTATAAATGATCAATGGTCAATTTTAAATCCATGAATCCAAATTAAATAAATCTCACGTATGCTTCACAGTATTCATCATCACTGAATGTAAAATTATTTTAAACCTTTGAATCTAATTAACAATAAGAAAGCTATAAATACTGTAAACCTGATTCCATATTTATTTGAAGAGGGTAAATGTTAATGCTGTCTGATTTGTGTTTTGTTTATTAAACAGCTCGTGCTGCAGCTCCTCGGAGTGATCAACGGTGGTCGCTACTTTCTAAACCCTAAAGGACCTCAGACCTCAGCGCCGGTCACATGACTGAAAGCTAAGAATTGCTCAGTGTGGCGCTCAGCCAATCCTGTGAGAGCAACAGCACATGCTGTTTGCTTTAACGCCAAATATAAGCAGCTTTCTGACACTCAGTTCGATATCAGTTTTTGAGACCCCCACTCAACAAACATGCCTGAAACCGTGAAAGCGCCTAAGAAGGGCTCAAAGAAAGCCGTCTCTAAAGCCACCAAGACCGGGAAGAAGAGGAGAAAGTCCAGGAAGGAGAGCTATGCCATCTACGTCTACAAAGTCCTGAAGCAGGTCCACCCTGACACCGGTATCTCCTCCAAGGCTATGGGCATCATGAACTCGTTCGTGAGCGACATCTTTGAGCGCATCGCCGGGGAGTCCTCCCGTCTGGCTCACTACAACAAGCGCTCCACCATCACCTCCAGGGAGATCCAGACCGCTGTCCGCCTGCTGCTGCCCGGTGAGCTGGCTAAACACGCCGTGTCTGAGGGCACCAAGGCTGTGACCAAGTACACCAGCTCCAAGTAAACCCGCTGATCACCAGCAACTACTCAACGGTCCTTTTAAGGACCACACAACACTTCATCTAAGAGCTGGAGTCCTGATTGTTCTATTACACCCAACAATAGATCATCTTCGCATATGTGAGCCATTAATTCAGTATTGAGAAATTGGACAACTCACCTTACCACATTATAATTCACATTTATTGATGTTAGACAGTTGAAATGTGAAATTGTCACTGTAAATTGACGAAAGATTAGAAGTCCCAGCCTTGTTTATGTCTAACTTTTTTATCTACATTCAAATAAGGATTGAGTGAAACTTTGTATCATGAAATCAGGCTTAATCAATAATTTGCTGAAGTCAAACATGTCTGTTAAAAGTTGTGGTCTTACTAAATCAATAAGTCACAAGTTGTAAGCACCTAATAACTTGATGCAGAGCTGTAATGAATTGTCATTGACTGAAATAAACCCAGACAACTTCAGGGTTCCAAGAAAGACATCTGAAAATGTTGACATTTCTGGATGTGTATATATATATATATATACGGTTACCTCAAGTGTTTGTAAATTAAAGATTACAATCAAATGCAGACCCTAATAAGCTGGATAAAAGAACATTATTCCTTAATTATCAGCAGCGTTTGTAATATTCTGCTATCCAGATATAGTGTCATTAATTGTTGCTATACAATAAGAAATTCAAATCAATTTCTCAGTCAGCTAAATCAAAAGACGTTCAGGGTCCATACAAGTCATCTGTTATATTTCTCCTCTATGGGGATGAGACATGATGCAGAGAGCATCTCTCTTCATTTTACATCGTTGACGGCTAGTAAATGTTATATTTTGAGAACACCAAGATATGGATGTGGACGGTAGTAGTTTCTGAATTAACTATTGGTTACCTCAAGTATGAAGAATTTGCAGTAGACAAGTACATACACTAACTTGAAGTGTACTTTCTGTAAGGCTTTTTTCCTTATATAGTTAAAGAGATACTTGAGTTAAGTCATTATATTAATAACATTTTCTAGTATATATAGAATAACTCTTTAGATGAATTGAGTGGCTCTTAAAAGAGCCTTTGGGTTTCAATGTGAGTGGGTCAGGTTGAGGTTTAACCTCCGAAGCCGTACAGAGTGCGTCCCTGTCTCTTCAGAGCGTAAACCACATCCATGGCGGTGACGGTCTTCCTCTTGGCATGCTCGGTGTAGGTGACAGCATCACGGATGACGTTCTCCAGGAAGACCTTCAACACACCACGGGTCTCCTCGTAGATGAGACCAGAGATACGTTTGACTCCACCACGACGAGCCAGACGGCGGATAGCGGGCTTGGTGATTCCCTGGATGTTATCACGGAGGACTTTACGGTGACGCTTAGCGCCTCCTTTACCGAGTCCTTTACCTCCCTTTCCTCTTCCAGACATGTTAGCAGATCAGTTGTTGAGAGCTGAATGATTCTAAGTTAGGATTCACTTTTTCTTAAATCTTGTCTCTGAGAACCTCATTGAAGTCAGAGAGCTGCTTTCTTCTTCTTCGGTCATGTTTTTCAAACACAAAATCTCATGAATCATTAGCGCCCCCCTCTGATCAGCAGCAGGAATCAGGGACAGCGTGACTCCTGTTAGACTGACTGAGCTCCACATTGAGCAGGAGGTGAAGAAAACATCCAACATCTTGGATTGAAATCTTTCACACCGAGATGAAGGAAGATTCTCACTGATTGCACAGCTCTGGACAGCTCCCTATGTCAATACTGTTCATTTACAACTCTGTTTTTGCACATTGACATTTATCTCCAGCAGTATGTTGTATTTAATATTTTCATATTTAAGACTAGAAGTAATGCTAAGTTAAATCCTGGTTGTATATATTCACATTCTTAGTTTTGATATTTTTAGTGCTTATTTACTTTGTATTTAATATTATATTGTGTTTATTTACTCATACAGTGTGTTTGATAACCCGCTGCTGTAACGCCACAATTTCCCAGTTTGGGATCAATAAAGTATTTATATTCTATTCTATTCTATTCTATTATTACTGTTTGTATTCTGTTTCTAAACAAATGACACAACATGCTGCAGCAGGGATCATTTCAGCGCCTCGGACAGCGAAAGTCATGAAAAAAAAAAGATGACTGAATGTTACGACGGAGGATTAGGACCACGTTGAAAACATTTTTTTATTTTGAGATTACAGTCTTAAATTTACAAGATTAAACTCATAAATGTATGACTTTATTCTCATAAATTAACGAGTTCGAGACCAGCCTGCACGAAATGATGAAGTAATTAATGTAAGTAAGTAATGTCTTGAATAAATAGAATAAATGAATAAAGTCGTTATTTTTAGTCTATATCAGAAGAGCAGCAGCATCCTGTTGGAGCATCTTGTCCTAAAGGTTTCACTAATAAGGAAATAGGATACTTCCTTGTGTAGTCAGTAAAAACGTTCAAGAGAAGTTTTCACTTCAACTTAAGACCTTGTTTCTGTAAAATGATGAACAGGACACAAACTGTCTCTGCACATGAGACACTTTAACAAGGCAGACCGATAACAGACACAAATAGTTGTGTTGGGGCTTTACTTAAGCAGATATGAAACTACACATGCTTTTGACACATCATCATCTTCACATTGTCATAAAATATCAGCACCCTGAAAAGATACTGCAATAAACTGAAGAAAGAACCACACTGACTGGCAGGAAGTTATCTGCAGAGGAAAAGATTAAACGTTCTACTTTCATCATTTTGTGCAGACTGGTCTCAAACTCATTCATTAGTTTAATCTCTTAAATTTAGTACTTTATTCTTGTTAATTTACGACTTTAATGTCAAAATAATAAAAAATAACGTGGCCCTAATCCTGCATCGTAAAATGTTGAAACAAAGATAAATCAATTATTTTACAACTGAACCAAATGAGGTAAACATTGTGTTCCAAAGCACAAAATCAACACAGATATAAAAAATATGTAGACAGAGCAGGAAGAAGACATCAAACTGAACATAAATAAATCAAAACTTACCCTTTATGTGAGTCTCTGCTGCAACAGACACAAAACACAGAAGTGAATCAGAATCAGAATCATTTTTTATTGCCAAGTGCTCTTACACACATAAGGAATTTGTCTTTGTGTATTGGTGCAAAAAACAGTTAACAAAGGAAGATTTGACATTATTTTATTTTTTGTCTCATGATGCTTGATTAATGTTTAAGGATTTTAACCATAATTCATTTAATGAGCCATTCCCAGTTTCACTGTACCAGCCTGGTGTACTTAGACTTGAATGATGTAATCTTTGAGGATCAGGATCATCCAGGAAGCTCAGACAAACTGTTACACAGAGTTTGATAGATAACCAGGGAAGTTTCTAACTTTAGTGAGGACACTCGTTTTGGTGACGAGTCTCACATCTTGTTTGAATGTAAGAATGTGAGTGTAATGATCTACACAGAAACATATCTGCCAATGTGAACTAACCATCTATGTAGAAGTTATTTTGTTGTTACAATCAGATAAATTTGTAAATTAGGTACCGTTTTATCCTTCTGTTGTTTAAGTTCTATCTGTTTGATTTTGACCACACCATGCACTACTGCTTTGTTTTTTTTATTACTGTGTGTTGTGTTAGTGCTCCGTACCATGTGATATGATCATGAGCTTTATAAATAACTGAAATGAAAGATTGAATAACATTAAAAAGTATTTAAGACTCAATACTCCACATTTTTCCACTAAAACACTGACACACATGAAATGATCTAAATCAGCTCAAATGTGATATTTGTTTGTAAAACACTGTGTGATAATAACTACAGGGTTTGGACTTCTTAGATAGAATAGGATAATACTTTGTTGATCCCCAGAGGGGAAATTCAGGCGCTGCAGCAGCACAAGACAAGTAGAAGAAGTTCAAACAAAATAAAAATGTTAACAGAATAGATTAGATGAATAGAAATAGAAATAGGGGGTATATATGAAGGTGACGTTAACTATGCAGGGAATTAAGACATTATGTGCAGTGAATGGCAAGATAAAGTGACAAGTGATGATTAAAGTGACTTGGTATGATCGATAGCATCAAGTCATGTAAAGACCAGTGAAGAGAGGCAGTTTTGTATCTCTGTAAGGCAGAGTGCAGTTATAGAGTACAATGATAATGATGGTGTGATAATAATTTCATTCAATTTCAAACCTTTATTTATTCTCGAAAAGACACTGAGGTTTCACTCATTTCCAATGCTGTCGAGATTACAAGCACAGTAAAACAAGCAAAAACACATCAAACACTCAGGATCAGTGACAAAATCCACTGAGATCAATTAAAACAGTTACAATTTGAAACAAAGTTGTTCGAAATCAAATTCCTGAACTCTGGAAGAGAGGGAAGAACTTCGATCCTTAGAGTTTGCTGGAGGGCGTTCCATGACTTTGGGACATCAAAAGAGAATACAGATTTACAAGATTCAGTACACATTTGCACGTAAAGTCATAAATAAACAAATTCATTGACCACGTATATATTGGTTTGAAATTGTGATACAAAAGGGGTGTGTGAGAAAAAAAGAGATATACATATAAATATACATACATACTTACATACTCATACACATGTGCACATACTGATACCTAAACATATCCATAATAACCTCGTTAAACACCAACATCCAACTGTACAATTACTTTCTGAACCTTTTATTTAATCCAGACAGGCTAAGGCTCAGAGAATGTTTTCGGTCACTGTCACTGATGCTAATTACAAGAAGTCTTTAAGACAGCTGTCCATGTCAAAACAATTCAGCTTTCTTACCTTCCAATTCATAAGAATTATCTGTTTGACAGATAGAAAGGCTAATCCAATCAAGTGTTGGAATTATTTTGAGGTTACCTCATCTTTCTTATTTCCCAGTATACCCACTGTTGGACTTAATGTGAACGTTCATATTAAGTATTTTGCACAGAAAAGTGTGTAAAAATGTGTCTTCAGTCTGGATTTAAAAACAGAGACAGTGTCATCAGATCGTACATCAACAGGAAGACTGTTCCAAAGCTGAGGAGTCACTACAGAAAATGTTTGATAAACCTTTGACCTTAGTCTGGACTGTGGAACTACTAGGAGGCCTGACCCTGCAGATCTCAGAGGCCATTTGGTTGTTAAGGAGTGAGGAGTCAAGGAGCGAGGAGTTAAGGAGTGAGGAGCTGGTGCTGTTAGAATTAGCTGCTGCCTTCGATACAGTTGATCATCAGATTCTTTTATCTCGCCTCGAACTGTGTGTTGGCATTAAAAGTGATGTCCTAAATTGGTTTAAATCATACCTCACAGAGTGAACCTTTTCTGTTCATTTAGGCCTCTTACTCCACAGCTGTGGCCCCACTAGCCTGTGGGGTCCCTCAAGGCTCCATTTTAGGCCCCATTCTAACACAGATGTTAATATAAGAACTGCTCAGTCCATTGACAACTTCAAATCTTTGCTTAAAACTCACCTCTCTGCTCTGGCTTTTAATACAATTTGAGCTTGACATTTTGAAATTGTATTTATGCTCTTATTTATTGTGTTTTTATTGTGCTTCATTCTATATGTTATTTTACTTGTTGTTTTTACATTGTGTTTTTTATGCTTGTACAGCACTTTGGTCAATCAAGGTTGTTTTAAATGTTTCTATAGAAATAAAGATTGATTGTTTGATTGATTGATTGATTGATTGATTGATTGATTGATTGAGGAGTTCATTTATGTAGTCTGGTGCATGGCCATGTAAAGCCTTGTAAGTTAGAAGTAAAAATTTTGAAATAGATCCTTAAAGGTAACCAATGCAAAGAGGCTACAAGTGGAGCGATGTGAGCGAAGCGTTTTGTCTTTGTCAGAAGTCGGGCTGCGCTGAGGCAGGTGAACAGGGCGTTGCAAAAGTCAAGGCGAGATGAAGTAATGGCATGAATGATTTGTATCACTCTGTATCATCCAATCTGTTGACTCTTGTTGTCATCTGTCCTGTGTGCAATGGTTATAAATGTTCAGAGAAACATACTTATAATTCTTTATTTACATAAATATTTTTACGATAGTATTTACAGAAAAAGCTTCAATATATGTTCTATGTATTCACATACACTGTTAATATACTTGTCACAGTAAAGAGGTACAGCTCGATCAGCAGCTAATTTACTCATGAAAAAAAAAACATGACAGAACAAAACAAGCATGTTTAAAAAGCACTTCACAGAATATTTCACACTTTTTTTTCATGCAAGCTGAAAAGGCCAGATGATCCACCTTTGCGTCCAAAAATAATAATTAAAAACAAAATCTAAAATATCTGTGAAAAATAGTTTAATATTTCACAAAATAAAAGTTAAATGAGTTTCATATGAATGAACCTTAAAAAGTAATCATGACTCACAGTCTATCTGTAGAATCTTTACTGATCTTTTTACCTGAAATAAATCACAGAAGAGGAGAAATAACTCTGAGTCCACCATGATCAACGAGGAGATCAGCTGAGGAGAATTAGAGATTCATTTAATGTTAATTAATTTGATTAATGTGATGTTATTACTCAGTTGACAGTGATGATTGTTAAACCTATAGACAGAAAACTGTTCTCCACACAAACTCAAACTGATGTGATGTATTCAGTCTCTCTCAGCACAGGAATGATTCATTATGTTGTTAGATTGTTACATCGTATTATTATAAACCTTTAACTTTGTGTCCTCTTGATGAATTCTATCATTTGGTCTGACCTGGAGATCAAACCCACAACATCATCTGAGTCTGTGTGACCTCCTGAGTCTCCGACAGCCTCCGTGTGTTTACCTCCACTGAAAACTCTCCGATTAAAACTAAACACATCAAAGTATAAGGTTAATGTTTGTTTTATTTAAATAACTGATGTCTCTGCTTACTCTATCATCCTTTTAAAACTTTCACAGGTCTCATTAAGACACTTTAGGAGCCGAAATGTGTCGGAAAATCCCGGCGTGTTGTCCAAACAGAGCGGGTATCATAGAGGTTTGAAGCCTGCTGTAATGAAATTAAAGAGACCTCGTCCACAAACATGAGCTGAATCTGAAGAGATGAAGGTTTTCTAACTGATGCGGGACGTTTTTTCCGTTTAAACAGATTCTCTGTGTGAGTTTAATCCCCATAAAGTTGAAGATAAAACACAAAGTGTCGCCACATTTCAGACAGGAAGAAGAGCGTCTGTGTGGGTTGACTCTTCACGGTTCTCATGTTCCCTATAAGTCCCGCCTCCTTTCAGTCTTCTCCACACGTCCAGTGAGAGATCAACATGGCAGAAGAAGCTCCAGCAGCAGCACCAGCAGCAGCCCCGGTGGTGAAAGCCCCGGTGGTGAAAGCCCCGAAGAAGAAATCGGCCCCTAAGTCGAAGCCGAAGTCTGATGGACCCTCCCTCCCGACGCTCATCGTCAGCGCTGTGTCTGAGTCCAAAGAGCGCAAAGGTGTTTCCTTATCGGCCCTGAAGAAGGTACTGGCCGCTAAAGGTGTGGATGTGGTTAAGGCTAACAAACGCATCAACGCCGCCGTGGTCAAGCTGGTAACAAAGGGCACTTTGGTTCAGACTAAAGGAAGTGGTGCCTCCGGATCTTTCAAGCTCGCAAAGAAAGAGCCCAAAGCCGCCAAACCAGCAGCGAAGAAGGTCGCAAAGAAAGCTCCAGCCAAGGCAAAGAAGCCCGCAGCAAAGAAAGCTACACCCAAGAAGAAGACTCCAGTCAAGAAAGTAGCAGCAGTCAAGAAGTCCCCGAAGAAGGTAGCAGCTAAGAAAGCTCCAGCAAAGAAGGCAACCAAAAAGCCTGCTCCAAAGAGTCCTAAGAAGGCTGCTGCCAAGAAAGTGGTGAAGAAGACTCCAGTGAAGAAAACTCCAACCAAGAAAACAGCAGCAAAGAAGACTGCAGCCAAGAAGTAAATCTTCACACCAGCATTCAATGCATCAAAGGCTCTTTTTAGAGCCACCACAGCTTCCACTAAAGAGTCTGTCCTCAATGATCTAGAATCATGTAATCTATATAATCACCTCTGAATGTTTACATCAGCTTTTAGTGTTTACACTTCTCAGTCTTTTACAGTCTCTCATTACTTTTCAGAGTATTATGTTTAAAATGCAAGATAGTAATACTTTAATAATGTAGATCTTTGTGTATAAACACCTCAATGAGTATAGTAAGTTGAATACATACAGTACAGTCAAGAAGAATCTCAGCTCAGTTTATTTGATCAAATGGACCTTCAACATTTTTCTTAATCTATAGAAACAGAATTCAGACAATAAATACAAATGGAGGGTGATCAACACTGAATCGTCCTCCAGGGGGAAACGTGTTGTCACAGCTTTGTGCAGTTGGCACACAGGTATACATATATGATGACATGGCACATGAAGTGAACATGAACAGGAAGAAAGACAGACGATGAAATAGGCCGGTCAGCATGGAAGCTTATTTAGAGCTTCAACAGCTGAGGGAACAAAGCTCTTTGTAAAGAGGGTCCTCTTCCAGGTCAGAGTCCTGATGAGGACAAACTCTTACATTATGGTCCTGTAGAAACCCCCCTCCTCTTTCCCCACTCTCCATACTGAACAGCACAGTGTCTACTGTGGACTCTTTCAGGTTTCTGGGATCCACAATGTCCTGTCGCTGTGAAGGACCGGTAACCCTGCTATCAAGCACCCACCCTGAGTGTACAGAAGACTATTATAATGACTTTTATTTTTGAATAACTGAAATATTATCCTCTCACCGATCTATGCACACTGTATGTAAACACTGTAAAAACTCTACCTCATATACAGTATATTAACCATCTGTTACATAACTATATATTTATTATCTTGTTCATCTCAGCATTTTTTGCACTACTCACCTCTATTGTCTTATTTAGCCTTGTTTATATTATGATTTGCTTAAAATATGTTTAATGTGTAACAAATTCTGTGTGTGCGCTCTGTTGATAATTATATTTAATTACAAATAGTGTCCTCAATCCTCATATGGTGCTTGATATTCTACACTTACTCAAACACAATTACACTTTTTACTGTAATAGTGTAACATGTGTGCTACTACAGTATGATTATGTATCAGGAATTTTCTCTTTAGTTGTGATGTGGTGGCTCTTAAAAGAGCCTTTGTGTTTGTTGAAGTCAGGTTTGAGTCTCTACTTCTTGGTGGCCTTCTCGGTCTTCTTGGGCAGGAGAACAGCCTGGATGTTGGGCAGCACTCCTCCCTGAGCGATGGTGACTCCTCCGAGCAGCTTGTTGAGCTCCTCGTCGTTGCGGACAGCCAGCTGCAGGTGACGGGGGATGATACGGGTCTTCTTGTTGTCACGGGCAGCGTTCCCGGCCAACTCCAGGATCTCAGCGGTCAGGTACTCGAGCACAGCCGCCAGGTAGACGGGGGCTCCGGCACCAACACGCTGGGCATAGTTTCCTTTACGCAGCAGCCTGTGGACACGACCGACTGGGAACTGGAGCCCAGCACGGGAGGAGCGGGTCTTTGCCTTTGCTCTGGCTTTTCCGCCGGTTTTGCCTCTTCCTGACATGGTGTAGGTTAATCTCTAGAGTCGATACTGAGAGAAATAAGTTGTGTGCCGAGATGTCCCCGTTATATGTCCGCGTAGCGCGCTCGTTTTCCTGCCCCACCAACCAGAAAAGAGGCTTCGAGTTTAGCAGAGGAGGGCGGCCCCACTCGCAGCCTCGCTCCGCGATTTGAAAAACGTTTCTCCAATGAGCAGCGGAGATTGAGGCGGGGGCTCGAGCTCCAGCGGGACTGAGCTCCAGAAGCGGCTTTGTCACCAATCAGAGGCTAGAGGTCTGGAGCAGCGTCACTGTTTCACATCCGCTCACTCTTTTTAAAGGCAGCTCGTCTCCAGTCTCTGACACATTTATCTCTCACTCAGAGACTGGACACCATGGCAAGAACTAAGCAGACCGCTCGTAAGTCCACAGGAGGCAAAGCCCCCAGGAAGCAGCTGGCCACCAAGGCTGCCCGTAAGAGCGCCCCGGCCACCGGCGGCGTGAAGAAGCCCCATCGGTACAGGCCCGGTACCGTGGCTCTCAGAGAGATCCGTCGTTACCAGAAATCCACCGAGCTGCTCATCCGCAAGCTGCCCTTCCAGCGTCTGGTCCGTGAGATCGCTCAGGACTTCAAGACCGACCTGCGCTTCCAGAGCTCCGCTGTCATGGCTCTGCAGGAGTCTAGCGAGGCTTACCTGGTCGGTCTCTTCGAGGACACCAACCTCTGCGCCATCCACGCCAAGAGGGTCACCATCATGCCCAAAGACATCCAGCTGGCCAGAAGGATCCGCGGAGAGAGAGCTTAATCTCTTTACTCTCTAAAACAACCACAACGGCTCTTTTAAGAGCCACCACATTTCACTGAGACACCTTCCTCTACTCTTCACTTCATACTGATGACTTTAGTATTTCATTCTAGTTGCTGCCTACAGTACTGCAACCACAACAACATTAAAATGTAGTCATCTCTAACCATAGAGAGCACAGACCTATTACAAAGTTATTCATATAATAAACACTACATTTTATTTATTCTCCACTTAACTGTATTTCAATTTCAGGAGTTTGCCAGGTGTGTATGTGTGTGTGTGTGTGTATATATATATATATATATACGAAACCTGTATTATCTCGTAAAGAGACATTGTCAATATTTAATCTCCCTCATGTTTCCTGAGAGGTGCAGATTTCTAGAATCATCGTTCAGCTAAAAGAGCTTCAATAAATCAGCAGAACACACTATGAACTCAGGAATCACTTCATTATAGACTTATTATTATAGACATTATAATTTGTTCAATAAATAATTGAATCCCATAAAACATTGAAGTTGACACCATTACTTCTACAGGCCTTTAAGTTTGGATCACAAACAGGTTCACTGACGACCACTTGGAATAAATGTCACAGTGATTCATAAAGACGGTTAAGATGCTACAGGATGCTCCTCATACAGATCCATATCATTATTAAGATCCACCACATTAGTTTAGTTATCTTTAAAGACGCACTATGGGAACAAATAATGACCTCCAAAGACACAGTTCTCTGAACCACCACAGACACATCAAAGAGTCTCATGTATGAAAAGTATATTCATCAAATGTGTGTGTCTTTATATAACACACACACACACATGCACACACACAATCCATGCACATGATAAAAAAGTATTGTTATAAAAAGTGATTAATGGACTGAGGAAACACACAAGAAGATAATAAAACACTAAAAGATAAGCTGGAAATAAAACAGAACAAGATGATCTTTAAATCAACAAAACAGACGCAGATATATGTTTAAAGTTAGATACTATATATAATATCTATTCAGTAAAAAGGTCTTCAGTTTGCTTTTATAAATATCGACATGAAGCCGTGCAGATGAAACGATAATGATAATTATCAGGATATAAACATTGTGTGTTGACGTCAGGTCTTCAGGTTATCTCCTCCATCATCTGGGCCTCACTTTAACTTTTCCTGTTGAACTTTACACTGTGAGGGAATTTTAATAAACTTGTGAAGCACTTTGGATTAGAGAAGAGTGAAGCTGGATTTTCATCTCAAGACTTCCTGAATCACCTCTCTGTGACTGACCAACTGGTAATTATCATCTCTTTTAAGAACAGTGTGATTCCCTTTGCTCTGCTCTCCATGTTTGATTCTATTGTGTGGAGGTGTGGAGTGCCTTTGGGTAGACGTTCTGCTGTTGATTGTCTGTGGGTGTGGTTGTTTTCTGTAGTGTTAGTTGTTTTAAATGTTCTTTGATGTATTCAGACTGTAGAAGAGTTTGTCTCTTATTAAAGTCACTGTGAGCGACCCTTCAGAAGAGAACCATGTCCAACTGTTCCAAATGTCTCCCAGAGTGTCATGACGAGATCACCTCAGGTTTTTGTCTGCAGTTTTCTCATATGGCCTATACATTTTTTTTTCATCTATTGTTATCACTTAAAATCTTCCTCATCTGAGTCGTGTGTATTTTTCTACAATCACCGTTCAGCTAAAATAAAATCAGTAAATTACCACCACACAGTATGAACGCAGGAAGGTACAATCACTGCCTTATTGACAGTTTTCATTCCTTGATTTCTTATTTTATGTTACATATGACATCCTCCCTTATTGTGTTCATGTCACATTTATACATATTTAAATAGGCAAAGGAGACTCGTGACATCATGTCATTGTGACATTATATTTAAATCTTCACATACAATCCGTAGGAAAAAAAATATATAATCAAACAAAACTTATAAATGACACTGGGGATATAAATCTGATGACTTTATTGGGAAGGAGCTAAAGCAGTGTTTCTCATATTACAACACAACATTTAAATAAAGATTAAAACAATCAAACAGAGGACATTACAGCATCACATGTTTGGAATAAAACAAAAAAGAAAGAAACACAAAGATGAGGAAATGATCCAAACAGAGGAAGTGGAGACATTCATGAAATTATGCAAAACATGAATTATGACTTCTAGCATATAGACTAAAGAAGCAAGACAGGATAAATTACTGAATTGAAATCAGGAAGTGAGCTGAACTTGTGTCAGAATGAGACAAAGTAGATGAAGAATTTGCTAAATATTATAAAAGACTCTTCTAAAGAGAAACAGAGTTTGAAGTGAGGAGCTTCCTTATGAACAGGTTAAGACAGGAACAGAGCCAGGTAATGTGCAGATAACTGAATTTATAAGTAGAAATAAAAAAGAGAGAGGAAACAGTCAAATCTCAAATCTCAAGAACTTACGAGGAAAAAAAATACTGCAGACAAAACCAAAGAGAGATGAGAAACAGAAATGCGATGATGTTAAGTTACCTTGAAAACACTTAAACTAAAACTGAACTAATTTCAAAGCTTCACTTCTGGGATTTAAACTGTCTGTTGTTAAAGGGACTCACATAAAGGAAAAGTTTTGATTTATTTTCAGTTTTATGTATTTGTTCTGCTCTCTCAGTATGTTTACTTATTTAATTTGTGCTATTGAAATAAAC